AGCAAGACAAAGGCTCATATACAAGTATACAACAACCAAAGAAAATAGAAAATAGTTACCGCATTTGTACTATCTTTAAAAAATATTATGGTCATACTATTAGTTTAAATTTATTGTGTGTGGCAATTAATTTTGAATTTTTGGATAAAATTTTGTGATCACTTATATTAGTTTAAATTACATTTTATAACAGCTAAATTCGAATTTCGAACAATGAAGGTAAAAATAGTAAACTACTCTTTGATGGGAAAATAGGAGGTAATAGATCAGATGATCTAGGATGATGCCCTAGAAATTGGATTTGATGTTACAGGACTTTGTGGCTTAATGGAGTGGGATTGGCATTTATTTAACTTGGATGGATTAAAATTAAAGAAATATACTGTACTAGAGTATCGAGTAAGATCCACAAAGAAAGAAAAAGCATTGCACTCCAAAAAAAAAAAAAAAAAAAAAAAAAAAGACGCAACTGATTTGATGAGTTCTGTCTCAAAACCAAGGACTTTGTGCCTAAATTAGTGACATCTCTTGGAAATGATGGCTCACTCTTTAAATGTCAAAATTATTCTACTTTTACCACATAAAGAGAGCATCAAAATTCACACAAATTAATTACTTATTGTTTCTAAATTCCAAGCTTTTGTGTCAAAGGATTGATCCGTCCATTCCAAACCTGCATACACCGTACATGAAAGATAAAATAAATAAAGGAAAATGCAATAATACACACTAGAAAATTGTAAAAATTTAGGAAATCATAAAAATATAAACACTAATTACACTGATTTACGCGTATATTTGTCATGAATTTCTAATTTTATACAATTTTCAAGAGTGTATTTAATGCTTATATATAACCCAAGGGCTACATATAACATTACCCATAACTAAATACTCACTTTGTCCTCATTTTTTTGCACCAATGCAAATAAATGGGTCAAAATTTTAAAAATTTTGACCATAAATCCCATTAATCAATAAAAGATAATATAGTCATGTGGGGTATTGTTAGATTCGTCTCTTTATATATTTTATTTGTATAGTTTATTAATATTAAGTTTTTATAATTTTTATCGTGAAAAGTCAGTCAAATGGAGCAAAAAAAATAGAGATAGAGGGAGTAAATAAATTTATATAATATAAGTGAATGAAAAAGGGCGAAGGAGTAGAATAGAGTTTAAATTGTGGAATGCTTAACCCCTTTCATTTATTTTCCTTTTTTAAATAACTTGAAAAGAAATTTAGGCAATTGAAAAATTTCAATAATTTGTAATACTTCTCCGTTTACTTCACCTTATTTTTGCTGAAATAAAATTATTTTTACTGAACTGAAATTATTTTTGCTGAACTTAAATTATTTTTACTGAACTTAAATTATTTTTACTGAACTTAAATTAATTTTACTGAACTGAAATTATTTTTACTGAACTGAAATTATTTTTACCGATTTTCTATTTTATTTCTTCTTTATAGTTACTGAATTTTGCTGACCTGAACTTATTTTTACTTAACTTAAATTATTTTTACTTAATATTATTTTTTTAAGGTGAAGTGAACAGGGTCTTATTGTGAAGATGCAACAATTATTTACAATTAATTAATTGACTAACTTACAAAAATTTAACATTAATAACTTAATAAGGAAAAATATTAAACAAATATTTTAAGGGTATATATGTCTACACAATTACACAATGTTCTTAAAAGTTCAAAAAACAAAAAGGAAAATTAACATTAATGAGAGCAAATTAATAAACAATTTAGAGGATATAGTTATCCAAAAGTTATTCATAAGAGTTATTTCAAGCAAACTTTTTAAAAGGTAGGGAATTAGGGATAAATGTCTATCACACTATTGTTAAAAGTTTAAAAAACAAAAAAGACAAGTAGCATTAATAAGGGCAAATAAGTAAATAAACAATTTAAAGAGTATAATTATTTTGTTCAAATACAATTAAAATAAGTAAGGGCGTGTTTGGCATCAATTTTGGTTTTCAGTTTCCTTTTTTTTAAAACCAAAAACAGGAAACAAGAAACAAGAAACAAGAAAAAGGTGTTTCCACTTTTCTGTTGTCAGTTTTCAAAATTATCATAATTTTAATAAGTTATATAATTTTTGATTCATTATGGGACACATGTCATATACTTTTAGAAAACAAAAATCTAAAAAACAGAAAACCACAGCAATGCCAAACGAACCCTAAATAAATAATTTAAAGAGTATAATTATCCTGTTCAAATACAATTAATAAGAGTTATCTTAAACAAATGAAAGAAGATTCATTCACTGTAACTATATTACAAGGTTTTATACCCAAGTCATTTAATGCAACATTATCCTTTTCTGCGTAGAAAAATATATAATATAATCATTCCGTTGAAAATGTACGCACGAGTTGATCCCAATAATGTATGAAGTGTGGCTTTAAGAATACTTTCAAACAATTATTCAGTTATTCTAGATAAATTAGCTAGATTATATCGATTATTGTGTTTTGACTCCAACACTAGACCGCTAGCTGTTAGAGTCGTGGGGAAACATTAGTTAGAAATTTCTCCAAAGTAGTGGGTGTCATACTGTCATGTATCGTTGTAAATGTAAATAAATACTCCCTCCGTTTTAAAATACTTGATCCATTTCTCTTTGACACATATGTCGATACTAATCTTTGATCACTATTATTTTTAATTATCAATAGGTATAACTTTTAACAATTGAAAATTAATAATCTATTTATTGAGATGATTCCAACAAGTACCCACACGACTATTTTTTTTTTTTTATGTATAAATCACAAACATTAGTCAAAGTAGGATAAATGAATAGTGCAAAAAATAGAAATGGAGCAAGTATTTAAATACATTAGCTTTATGTGTACATGATACCATGAATAGGATGATCATGGAGTTGAAGGATATTTTGTCCCCTATCTCCCTTAAAAGTGACCTAGGTTCGATCCTTACCCCACCGCTCCTGTGATATAGGAGGGGCATCCTCGTATCGAGTAAAGAATTGAAGTATGGGTGCATTAGTTAATTAAAATTTAAACATAAATACTTAAGATATAGCTTATACTCCGTACTTGGTATGATATTGTGTGAAAATAGTATAGTGCACCCTGGTGCACCCGGAAAGAACATTAGACATATTTTAAAGAACATGGGCAAAAAAAAGAACATGGGCAATAAAAAAAGAACATACCTATGTTTGACAAAAGAACATGTTTGTGTTTGACAAGAACATGACATTACAAAGAACATAAAGTCTTTACAAAAAGAACATATTATTTTTCATGGTTATTTAGATGTTGAACGTGTTTGAAAAATGACATTATATTTGACAAAAAAGAACATGTTCGTGTTTGACAAAGATGTAGGTGATCATTGGGTGGGCCGGGCCAAGGTTAAAAAATCAGCTCACCTCTCGGGTCGGGCCAAATTTTTGGCCGAAGTTTTTGTGCCCAAAATTGTCCGGCCGTGCGTGCTTTTCGGGTCGAGTAAAAAAATCAACTAAAATGCATTCCCAAACCCGCCCAAAAAATTAACTTTAAGGGCCGGGTCCGACCCAATTTTGGGGGCGAAAAAAATTCTGCCCAAAACCCGTGCAAAATCGGGTCGGGTCGTTCTAACTTTGATCACCTCTAGCCAAAGAACATAAAGTCTTTACAAAAAGAACATGATAATACATTAAAGAACATGTTCTTTTTTCTAGTTACTCGAGTGATTGGTTGGTTTTTTTTTTTTTTTTTTTTTTTTTTTTTTTTTAATGTACATGCATTAAAGGATATATTGTATAATATAAAGAACATATAGTTCAAACTCAAAGAACATAATCATCAAACTTAAAGAACATATTATGCTCATGTTCTTTATAAATATATATAATATTCTTTTTTGCCCATGTTCTTTTAAATATACCTTATGTTCTTTCCGGATGCACCATGGTGCACCCAGGTGCACCAACCATACATTAGATATTGTGTATCTTTGTTATAAGCTAAACAAAAAGTAAATATGAGCTGTGATTTACTATTAATTGCACGCCCATTTGAGTTCAAAAAGAAAATATGGGCTGATTTAGTAGGACATCATTAGATTATATGAGTTCAAAAAAGTTAATTATGAGCTGATTTAGAAAATATTGACTGTAAAATTCGTGGATCTTGTCAAGGTGCATGGATTAGAAATAAAATCATGAGAGTCTCTTGTGGGACTTTAGAATCCGTTAATATCAATTTGGATCAATAAACATCCAAGTACCTTGACTTTGATCGCTTTGTCGCACGAAAAATGTTGATTAAGTTCTTCTTTCATTATTTTATTTCTAATCCATGCACCTCTTTAATCTTTATTCCATTGTTCGCTTTTTTTCACAATTCTAGTACGGAGTACTCATATGAAAATTTAGCAACTTTTTATTGAGATTTTTTGTTTGTTCATAACCGAACAAGATTGTCCTCTATAGTCATAATCTCATAATCTCGTGTCCTTTATTACACGGTAAAAGAATGCCAAAAAAAAAACGAAAAAATTGTGTTAGAATCACGTCACTCGCAATCTAATACTACCTCCGTTAACTTTTAGTTGCAACTTTGGGCTATTATTTGTGCAGCTCGTCTTGTGTGCGGGCGATCACACCGTAAGACCACTTAAAGTAACCCCTACAACATTGATTAAGTAACCCCTATAATACTGACCGAGTAACTCTATAACAATGATAAAGTAACCCCTTTAACATTGATCAAGTAACCCCATTACACTAGCAAAGTAACCCCTATAATGGCTGGCCACATATAAGACTTTGTGTTATTTGTGAGGTATAAAATATTCTAAAATTGTAACTAAAAGTTAACGGAGGTAGTATATAAAACAATTAATTTTCCTTTTCACATCAAGTCTTACTATACAGGAAGCAGTGATGCAAGAATCTTTTATAGTTCGCTGAAACAACTATAAATGATTTCTAAGGAATTGGATGATAGAATAGCCAACTTCTTGTGAATTTGCTAATGAAAAAAAAAAAAATCATTACTAAATTTCTGAGTAAGATTTGTTCCAAGGTTTCCAAGAGCTCAAGTATTGTTTTGAATTATCATCTGTGGCCATCAATTTACATATTTAGATAATTGCTTTACATGAATTTACAAGTTGCCTTGATATATGAATCTCACAGAGAAACTGCTTACGACATACAAAGTAAGTTCTTACACCAATTCCATACTGTCGAACAATAGATCTCAAGTTTCTGCCTGCTGATACATTCCTTACCCATTTTTTCCTACTTGTTGCTTCCTTTTGATCGGTTACAAAGAAACCAGTTGCATGGGGTACATGAAAGTTACCTCCAGTATCTTGTGTTTGATATATCCTCTCCAAACTTTCAGCAGGCTTCTCGATTCCTTGATCCTTTTTCATTGTATGTATGTCGTGTGTTAGGACATTATTCATTACTCTTTTGGCCTCGTTTACTAAACCAATTGAATGCCAAGCATCTGCAACAAGTCTGACGGTACTGTCTTTAGGATAGATGCCACTGTCATCCATGGTTTGGAGCAAATCCTCTGCCTTCCAAGGCTGCTTGGCTTCTCCAAAACCCCATATCAAAGTTTCGTAAGTTTTCAGATTTGGTGAAACCCCCATCTCTTTCATCTTCTCATACACTCTCATTGCATATTCCATCTTTCCTACACTGCACCAACCACTGATCACAGTAGTGAATATCACGACATTTGGATGTACACTTGATTCACTCATAGACGTCAAGAGTGCTTCTGCTTTATCAGGCTCGCCTGCACGGACATAGCCTTTGGCAAGGATGCTGTACGCATGAATATCAGGTTGTATGCCAGCCTTTGACATGTCATCAAACATATCCTGGCATTTTGACATTAGTCCTGCTGAACTCCATGCATTCATTATTGTGCTAAACGTGACCACATCTGGCTTGATCCCGAAATCTTCCATCAAAAATAATGCCTGTCAGAAGCAATAGGCATCATAGTGTAAGAAAATATAAGATAGAAAACAATATACTTAAATGGTACTCTGCTCCTTTCATCTCACTGTCAAGTAAAGATCTTCCATTTGGGATTTTCCGTTCAAATGACACCTTTTATACAGGATATCCAACAATTTAAGTAACATCCTCCATTTTGGAATATCCCATACTTAACTCAATATACTAGTTTAGTCAATTTTTCTCAAAAGTTGGCCTTGCATAATTGCATTCACTTTTTCATTCTTGTTAGTCTCCTAACAGTAAGTACAAGTTACTTAACATGTGGGCCGAGGGAGTACTTAATTTAGGGCACAACAGATGCTCAAATTAGATTGGCATAGACATGGTTTCAGATTATAACCTCAAGTACAACTTCTAAGTCACTTTATCTATCTGCTACAACCGGTCACTAGCTAACATCCACAATATAAATGTATATGTGAACCGGAGTCAATAACTTCCGAATTTTCTTTTTACTGCAAGGGGAGACAGGGGGGAAGGATTCATTCTCTTCTCATAATCCAGCAAGGTATAAGATCCTTTGTCATGACCTAGCATTCTGGCACTGCCCCCCTCCCTCTCCCTCTCTTAAGCCAAGACCTCATTGTATAAATAGCACTACTCATTGGTAAAGTTATTATATGCACCCAGGGATAAGGTGCACCTTCTCATATATAAAAAAAGAAGCTCATATGCCTATGTGCGAAACGTGTAAGTAGGTAAATTGAGGAGGTGCGCTTGGTGCTAGATGCACTGAGGTGTATAAAGGATGCTCTGACTCACTACTGTTACTAGTATGCCTGGAAAGTTGTTCTGACCAAGTAATACTATGCCAAAACATATTCTCCACATCTAAAAACATGCTCTCTTGATCGTAATTGTCTAATGGAAGAAACCCTTCTAGTATAATACCAAAATAATAAATTCAGATAAGCTATTCTCTAATTCTTGATGCAGAGCATGGACAGGAAGTGTGACAAAATTGGAGCCTTCACCTAATTAACATGTGAAATAGAAGGCGCTCGTGAAGAAAACAAACAGCTTACCTCATCAACACCATCAGTGTCCATGGAGTCTAAAAATCCTTTTATCAGAGTGTTGAACACAATAAGATTGGGAACCACTCCTAGATCCTTCATCCGATAGAGAAATCGTAATGCATCAGCCATATTTCCTTCAGTACAATACCCACTGATGATGATACCACATGTCCGTTCATTAGGCTGAATTTTATTCTTCTGCATTTCATGTATCATTGCTTCAGCTTTATAAGTCTCTCCATTCTGTGCATAAGCCCTCGCTAATGTGTTGTAAGTGACTACATCAGGTTGCAGACCCGTGGCTACCATTTTATACACTGTATTCCATGCTTCATTAATGCTTACTTTGCACCAAGCTCGAACTAGAATATTGTAAGTCATGTCATTTGGTTTGACATTTTCTTCTTCTGACATCAGCTCTAGTAACTTCAATGATTCTTCAGGCTTCCCAGCTAGGCCATATCCCTTTATCAATGTATTGAAAGTACTGATAGTTGGTTTACAGCCATTTTGCTTCATCTTGTAAAATATTCTCATCGCTCCTTTCATGTCACCTGCTTCACAATACGCATTTATGGCAGCATTGAAGAATATAGAGTCAGGTTTCAATCCCTTGTCCACAACCGTAGAGATGAGAGAAGGAATTGATTTGATCTTCTTCTGAGCAGTAAGGGCAGCTAAGAGAGTAGTGTATGTCACAAGAGTTGGCCTGTGTCCCTCTTCTGTTAAGCTTTCAAAGATGGCAAATACTTCCTCAGGTTTCTTCCTTTTCACTAACTTGGTCATCAGTTTCGTTCTAGACAGAACTGCATGACAACCGCGGTTTTCCAAGCAGACAATGCAGCAGTTCCCAGAAGGAATCTCATTTGAAGCAGAGGTTGGATATACTTTATCCTGAAAATATATTGACAAAAATATCTAATATCAGCTTTCTCACAGCTGGTTTTCATGACAGGAATTGCAGATGAAGAATTAATTGCAGTCTATCTCAAGGAGCGAGAAAGAAAAAGCAATAGCAGCAATACCACAGCTGGTGAAGCTCGAACCCATTTCTCCCTTGAATTTGTTTGTCCTTTCCTTTTTTCCATGCAGAGGTTTGTGCCACTTCCTTGGATAACAATTAACCGCTTCTTTCACCTTCAGAGCAAGAAATCCGACTTCAGAGCCTTAGCAGAACATGATTATAAACCACCTTGCATACACCCTGGCCAAATTATTGAAGTGGAGAAATCATAGGCCATGTATCCAAGGAGAGTCAACGAGCTGCCTCCATTACGGTCCTACACAAAAAGATGGTGCATTCATCATTTGGTTAATACTTGTTTACAAATTTGTTTGAGGGTCAGTCTGGTCTGTAAACTGATCATCAGCAAAGCAAAAACAACAATGAAATCTCCATATCGTGTTGTCTTTAAGCATCAGACTTTCACTAACAACTTCATGAGGTTCACAGATTAGCAATATGTTCTTTTACTTAAACTCAAATGCTCAAAGTGAGACAATGGACCTAGAAGAACCAGCATACCGCGTCAAAAAAAGGCTGGAATCTATCAAAAACAGAAAAGACATCTATGGTATTTCGGAACCCTCAACAAGTTACTGAACCACCCTTCAAGCTCACAATAGAAACAAAAAAAATCAAATCTATGAAATACTGATTATTACTACTGCTGAATTGCTATAACATACTAAGCATAAATTTATCCCTTGAGAAATCAACACATGCAAACTAGCCAAGATTAGCACACTTGGTCAGAAACCTTCGAGTTTTTGAAGTTAATATTGTATCAGGATTCAATTGCAAACTAGCCAAGGTAAAAGATAAGAACTAAATTTACTACATCATTATTCTACCAAGATAATGTTCTTTCTCCATGTGATAAATTACCTTTTCTAAGCAATTTATTCAACTCTTTGGCATCAGTTTTAGTACAGGATTAAACATCAATTACAATCACCATACAATATATATCTCAAGCAGCTACTGCAAGAGAAAGGCATACGCGTTTCAATCCACAGACCACTATGCTATAACAATTGCAGCGAATAAAATGATCACATTATCATAAACAACAGTAAGAACTAAAAACTAAATTCTACTTACCAATCCGGAATTAGTTGTCACGTTGTCACAAAGTTTTCATGACGATTTTTAGAACTAGACCCTTTAATTTTAGAATAGCTGGATTATTAAAATCTACTCCCCTGCTCCCATCACTAAATTAAATCAGTTCAGCATATTGGCAAATCTAATCATAAATCAAAACTATATTCGTAACCAGTAACTCAGGTGACAACTTTTTTCCGAACATCCTACAACTATTCAATATTTATTCCGAACATAAAGAGTATTAGAGGCTGAATCATGTTCAAAACACTAATGTTTTATACTCTATCAAAACAGAATCAAGAAGAACCCCAAGATTTCTGATGAATTGGACAAGAATGATGAAATTCCATCAGTGAAATAAGTAATAAGATAATATAATCAAGAATCATTAAATAGGATCAAATGGAGTAAGAAAAACAGAAAGAAAGCATAATTAAGCATACATATGATTAAAATAAATTAGTGTGGGAAATTGAGCTGAAATTAGTACCTTAAAAGATAGTTGGGGAGGAGAGAGAAAGAGAGGAATGTTTGAGGAAGATTATAAGTAGATTTTAGGGAGTTGAGTTATGTGTTGTGACAAGAAATAAGAAATCTTATCCACAAATATTATGTGAAATAAGTTATTGGTTGAGTGAATTTCTACTGGCTGATATTCAAGGATGTTGGGAACTATTTTTGAGGCACCCAACTAGCCAACTAGCTTCCTACTTACGAAAACTCTATAAAGTATTCTAACATTTTAAAACTATGTCAACAATGGGGATGTAGCTCAGATGGTAGAGCGCTCGCTTAGCATGCGAGAGGTACGGGGATCGATACCCCGCATCTCCACTCACTTTTTTTTTTTTAATTTAAATGAGGTTACAAGCACCAATGGAAGGAAAACAACAAGAAAAGAAAACACACGACAGAAATAAAACTAAGTAATGCAAAAAGAAGACACTAACTACCTAGGGAGGAATAAGTCGTGGCATGGCCACGCCTTGTACATCTTCCTCCAAGATACGACTGAGTTCTATCGGAATATTATTAGTACTAGGGAGGAATAAGTCGTGGCATGGCCATGCCTTGTACATCTTCCTCCAAGATACGATTAAGTTATATCGGAATATTATTAGTAAAATAAACTAATTGAGAGTCTTGAACGACTCCGCGGTAGGCCAACCAATCTACCGCTAGTGTTATCATATTTAAATAATAGAATTTTTTTATCTTGTAGAATTCTAAATAAATATTACTACGTACCTTTCCTTGTAACATCATATATATATATATATATATATATATATATATATATATATATATATATATATATATATATATAAGTAGTTGATACATGTTAAATTAATCTCTACTAGATCATTAAAGCTACGTTGTCAAAAACCTAATCAATGGCGGCAGCGTCGAGTGAATTAAGTCCCATTGAAGACCTTCCTACGGAAATTCTGTCACAAATTCTACTACGACTTCCCAACATCAAGTCCTTATTACTCACAAAACTCGTGTGCAAATCATGGTTTACCCTCATATCATCTTCAGAATTCACCCATCTTTATAATCTCCGCCATAACAACAATTCTCTCCTTGTATGTACCAAACTTGATCTTAACTGTTGCAGACCTTGCAGTCGCTATGTTTACAGAGCCCAATTCAATGGCGACGACGTTTCGAAGGAGGAGAAAATTGAACTTCTTCCATACTGACAAATTAGGGAGAAAGAGAGAATGAATAGCTTTTGCATTGCTCGATTATTATTCATCAATAGGTTGATTATTTATACAAAACCTATACTCATAAGATAGGAAACAATCTTTCCATAAGATATACCATATATCCTAATGATATATTCACTAAATCATATCTTAACATAAAATAAACCTAAATATATTATTCCTTTAATGATATCTACAGAAAATATATCACACATATAGATTGGAAATTCTTTAATTTGTTGAAGTCGAGATGCACTCTCTGGTGATGTCGCCTTCAATTTTTTTTCTTCAATGATGAGAACGTATCTTTTCGAACTCATCTGTCAACAGGAACACCATTCTTTTCGAACCTGTAAATAACACTCAAATCTCTTGGTCTTTCAGAGTAAACCACACTCAAATCTTTTATTGGTCTTTCAGAGTAAACACACTCAAATCTCTTGGTCTTTCAAAGTAAACCACACTCAAATCTTTTATTGGTTTTTCAGAGTAAACCACACTCATATCCAAAGGAGCAAAATCATGCTCGAATCAACTCACAAACCTTGTCTCACGGCACAAGAAGAACCAAATATATCTTTTCTCACGACACAAGGGAGCTGGTTTTTTTTTTTTTTTTTTAAAAAAAAAAATATTGCGTCAAGCATAACGCTATTTAATTTCTTCATCTCCAAAGATGTGTTATAGTGGAGGAAGTCCACTCACATACTCCCAAAAAAATTCTCCCAAAAAAAAAAACACATACACATATATGATACGTGTACCAACCCAAAAAAAATAAAAATTTAAAGAGTATTAATATTGCATAGCGGAAGCAAAATTTTGAATCCCACCGATTTAACCTGCTCTTGATACCATGACAAATTAGGGAGAAGAGAGAATGAATAGCTTTTGTATTGCTTGATTATTATTCATCAATAGGTTGAATATTTATACAAAACTTATACTCATAAGATAGGAAACAATCTTCCCATAAGATATACCATATATCCTAATAATATATTCACTAAGTCATATCTTAACATAAAATAAACCTAAATATATTATTCCTTTAATGATATCTACGGAAAATATATCACACATATATTTTCCGATAACACATATCTCTAACACATACCTAAATAAGTTGGTATTATCTAAGATTGTTGCTTCATGCCATGACTTGTTACTTTGCATCTTTGGTAACTCTAATTTGATCTTGCTAAATCCATTAACTCGTCTTTACCACGTCATTACTAGGTTGTTTTACGGTAATAGGGACGATTCAATTATTGATCCCCCGTTCTATACAGCCTAAGAGATGGGTCATGGGAACGTAAAAGGTATTTTACGGAATGTTTCTTAAATTATAAAGCATTTAAACCAAAAATAATAAATACTATACCCGATTTTTCAACTGATATTAGACCCGCGGTTGTTGCCAATTGTTTGTTGCATTTTATATATGGACGCAAAATCAAGTATCAGAGCAGAAAACGCCCAAAATCAAGTAAAATCATCATAACAATCCGAAAGTTTCAATCTTTGAAGTTCAAAGATGCCAGAAACAAATGAATCTGGTGCAAATCAGACTGGAAATGCTTACGCAGATCCCTACTATATGGCCAACTCTGACCATAATAGTTCTAATCAGCAATTGGGAATCATCATTTTTAATGGTGAGAACTACCTAAACTGGACCAGAAGCATAAGAATGGCTTTGGGTTTGAGGAACAAGCTGGGATACATTGATGGTAAGTTGAGGAGGCCAAACCCAGGTGATGCAGATTATGGGAAGTGGTACAGGAACGATAATGCAGTAAGAGGATGGATCTTAGCTTCAATGACTACAAACTTGGCTGAAAGCCTCATTTACTTGGAAACTTCCAAGGAGTTATGGGATGAAGTCAAGGAGAGATATGGTCAGACTAATGCACCTCTGCTCTATCAACTTAAGAAAGAGCTGAGTGACTTGAAGCAAGAGAATCAAGCAGTTGGCAATTTTTATTGCAAGCTCAAGAATTTATGAGATCATATTTCTTCTATTGAAGGAATACCAGAGTGTACATGTGGAGCAATGAGCAAATGCACATGCAACATGATGAAGAAGTTGGCTGATGCAGAGTCACTGAACAAACTCATTCAGTTCTTGATGGCATTGAATGAAGGGTTCGAGAACATAAGAGGAAGCATTCTTGCAATGGAGCCATTACAAAAAATTCTAAAAATCGCAATACTTTTCCCAAAAGTAATGGATAAACTAAACTCACGCAATGTCTATACCATCTTCATTTCCTTCATTAACATCATCTTGTTCAAGCTCTAAAACATACTTAGCCCACAAGTCTCTAATTTCGTCAATATTTTCAGTTGAATATGTATAGGGGTCCGCTTTAAAAAACTGCAAGATAAACAATAAATCGCCGTATATAGTCATAACTCATTGATAATAATAATGGAAGATAATGCTATATTATAACTACATTAAAAAAAATTTACACATACAAACAAATGAATATAATGATATGGGTTGAAATATGCAATGTCATGATTAAAATGAGCCATTTCAAAGATTTTAGATATTGAAAAACGAGATGTTTAGAAAAGTACCTATATATTATTGTTGTATACAATGTTAACACGCACATATACCGCATTAAAAAACTTGATAAGCAATACAAATTTTCATTATCTAGCACATGATCTAAAATCACATTCCAGTTTACTGAATAATGTTTGGATAAGAATACCAAAAAGTCTACAAATAAGGATACTAGCTCCGCGATCTTCCAAAATGATAATAACATGCTAATTAAAGCTTCATACTAGTTTTATTTTTGAAATTGGCAGGATGCATACCATTTGTTTTGTATAAGTGATCAATCACATAAAACTAGAATACTAAATGCATCTCTGACTAAAGCACACCCCACATTGAAATCCGAAGGAGAATACTAATTTTGAAAAGCCACATAAGACACAATAAATATAAATCACAATTTAAAAATAATCACCTTTACCAATTTGTATATGATTTCTTAAAATAATACATCACCATTATTAAAATAATCACAAATATAATAATGTTTCAACTAAATTCATCTTAATCTGTATGTCTATGGTCAAGGAGCTAGTTCAATGCTTACTAGAGCCAAATAAGAACGATAGACAATAAGACCGAAACAGTTGAGGTTTGAGCTTACTAGAGCCAAATAATATATCGAAAGTAGTCCATAAATAAAATTATAATGGGGCAAAAAGAGGCGTAAAGTACCTGGGAGCATAAGCTCAAAGTTTTTATGACCTCTAGTAATTATCTCTCCTTGTTTCTTCTCTAAGTTAATATCTAAGACATACAACATCTGCCAACTTCTTGGACCCTGCATGTGTTCATGTATCCCATTAATCATGTATTCAAGAATGTAAGCCTAATTATATTATCTAAGGAAAAGTACAGCAACAAGATCTAAAAAAAAAAAAAAAAATGCTTGGGTGTGTTGTAAATTCTCATTGACAACCGAATGCTATCATAGCAAAACATAATCACATCTGACCAAACTAAAATATTAATAAAAAGTATTGACATACATGCCAACCATTAGGATTGAGGTCCATTAATGATTCTGAAATTCTAGTTTCTATGTTAGTGCAGCTTATTGTTCCATCAAAGGATGCATCATATATAGTTCCATCATTGACTAAATTAAATCTGTAGGGAAAAAGATAATTGTCAACCGCAAGATCCTTAAAAATTATAAGCTTACTCATATTATCGAAGGCCACTGTACCAGAGGAAGTGTCTACATTGAGGCAGCTAATACATTAAGATTAACCTCATAGTGTTGAGCAAGCAAGAGTGAATATTTGTATAAACTCTTTTCTTATATACATTATCGTAATCCCAGACTACGAGCCGATCTTTCTGAAGAAAAAACAAGGGATTGGAAGATAACATTAGAGGCATCAGTGATACAAACTCAACAACAACAATAATCTACCAATAGCCAATTAATCAACATTTAAAATACACCCAATTTATCATTCAAATGGAGCAATACAAACTCAGCAACAACAATAATCTACCATAGCCAATTAATCAACATTTTAAATACACCCAATTCCCTTTAAAAAAAAATTACACCCAATTCATCATTGAAATGGAATGATAAACCTAGACAAAGATAATCTTAATTAAGTCAACACTTGAGCAAAAAACAATAGAGAAAAAAGGGGTTAGATTTTGAATTGTTGATAGGCGGTCGCACACCTAACAAAAATAATACCTAACTATTCCTCCTAATTATGTAGCAGGGTAAGTCAGGGTCGATCCCACAGACACTATGGTTCACCTAAATTATCTAGACTCAAGTTATTACTAAGCAAGTAACAAATTCAATGATGAAGAGTATTAACTACTAACTACGGAATATTAAGGAAATAAATTAACACGAAGATTAATATAAACTAAAACACCTAGAATTAGGAATCCCCACTAATATAGAACAATACGTCAAAATAATCCCTTTTCCACAATCAAATCAATAGATATTCCACAGGACGGGTGCTCCCTACAACAAATACTAAGAGTTTCTTTCGATCAACTAATAGCTTCCCTAATATGCAATCATACCTATTTTCATGGAGTCATACATATTAAAGACATTAAGAACGACATCCAAATAGTCCTAGCAAGAATAATTAGCTATTTTCATGCATAAAAATTCTTACTTTTAATTAGGATTCTGAAATCAATTAAGAATCAACTTTCGTTGTAAACCTAATCACATTCAATAATACTATTTCTAGTTAATCATTGATAATAAAACCAACCCTAATAAAGAGGAATTATAAATTAATTAGATATGGGATTGAGAATCAAACAACGTATTAATCCATATTAGGGTTCAACCTAACTCTAGATTATAAAACTACTCACACATGTTGATTAAATAAACGAAATATTTAACAGAAGAAAACATCATAACAATAATAATAAGAAATAAAGAGAAGAAGAAATACTTGAATTAATGGAGAACTTGATTTAATCTTCAATGGAACAAAGTTGGAAGAACAAGAAGAAAGGAAAAAAACAACGTATTAATTGGAATAATTGTGATGATAAAAGTCTCCCTTTTCTATCTTGTTATTAGTCTATATATATCCTAGGAATTTTAGTGGGCTTAGGACTCTAAATTAACATAATTAAGGGCCTAAAACGCAGCAATTAGGAGCCACCACGGGTAGGCTGTGGAGAGCCGTGTTCGACCACAGGCAGGCCGTGGAGAAGGCTGCCGTAGCTGCTCTTTGCCATATGAAAACGAGTTGGCCACAGGATGGCCGTGGAGAGAGTTGTACGCCCACAGGCAAGCCGTGGAGGCGGCTGCCATGTCCATTATTGTATGTAAATTTCTCCCTTTAACAAGTCGAATCACGATCAAAGCAAACCTCTAGCAAATCTAGCCCAATTCCTACAAAAATCAAAATAAAACAAACCAAGGAGAGCAATATCGAAATATAAAGAATAATAGCTCTAAAAGATTAAAAGTATGTAGAAAACATGATAAAAACCCGCAAATATAACATATAAAATGAATATATAAACGTGTTATCAATTGTTGTGCTTGAACAACAAGACTATCAAAGCAATTAATCAACATTTAATATAAATTCTGCATCGATTACTTAATGAGGAGGAGTTAGCGGCGGTTCAATTGATATGGGTGAAAGAAGAACGAGAAATGAGATGAGAGGAGAGTCAAGTGATGAGGGTGAAAGAGAGAGGGGCATATGAGGGGAAATGAGGAAAGAGAGGAGCATATGAATAATAATGAACTGTATAATGAATAAGGGAAGAGGTATATAACAGTAGCGGATCTTGAAACCTTTTCTTTCGGGGGCCAATAATGTCTAGTATAAGTGTACGTCTAAAACAAGAATATAATAACATAAGCATATGAAAATTACTTAAAAATCCAATGTGAGATTATATTATAAATACCAAGGAGTATAAGAATATAGCTAAATATAATAAATATTACCAAAAAATTAAAGAAGCAAAATATATGTCTTCAAGGAAATTCAACTAGGATTTCTATCATTAATCAAGCTTACACAGCCCGTATTAGTGTAAAAATATTCAGCAATCAAGCTTTAAACTGACAAACAACTATACACGTCTATATGACTATACTGTATTTACTCTATGAAAACATGCCTTTCAACCCATACATGATACATAACATACATTAATTGATTAATACATACATATAAATGAAAATCTACATTAGAAATCTTACTTGGCTTGGGCTATTAAAGGTTGGAGATTGCTTGATCATCATAATAAGGCAAAATGCAATCAACCCGGTAATTTTCCTTCCTATTATCAATTATAACATTAAAATCTGAAAATTAGGGTTAACAATTAGGGATTTCAAATTGAGGATTTTGAATTAGGATTATAAAGACATACTAAATTAATTAATTAAATCAATAATTTCAATATATAGTATAAAACATTAAGAGATTTCAGATTTAAAAGAGTAAAAGACATACCTGATACGAGGGCTTGAGGCAACGAACAACGAATCAGCGAGACAACGAAGAACGGTCAGCGACGACTGAGGCAACTACGGTGAGGCTAGGCGGCTGGTGACTGTGGTGACTGGTGAGGACGATGACTCGGTGAGGTAGATCTACCGGACGTCTGGACGAGCACCACTGCACCAGAAATCGGTTCGTCAGTTCGTGAGATTTTTTCTTTTCCAGGTTTCTTTTCTTGGGAGTAGTTGGGTTAATGGGTTTCATCAGTTCATCTGTTTTTTTCTTCGTTCCAGCCTTCCAGAAGTTCCAGGCATCTGATTTTTTCTTTTCTATTCTTTTTTTTTTTTTTTAATTGGGCCTTAATTTTTTTTTTTCCAAAAGTTATCAAGGGCCAGGCCCAGTGAAGCCTCTCTAAAGGTCCACCCCTGGTATATAAAATAAAAATTAAAAAAAAATAGGAAAAGGAAAAGGTGAGGGTCATGGTGGGCCCTTACACACATAAGAGACCCGTTGAGTTTAACAATAGGTCTCTTAATTCCCTCCCTCTATATCCCGCAACAAAAGTGGTGGGCCCTTTGACATTTTAGAGACCTGTTATCACTAATATTAGGTCTCTTATGTCAAAGAGACCTGTTGTATTAACCAACAGGTGTCTTATTATAGGTTTCTTTGGCCTTTTTTGTAGTAGTGCCAGATTGGTTCAAGAACCCACCAAAAGGAAAGAGCAAAAAGGTGGCTGCAAATGTCAACAAACAGAATGCTGAGCCTGCAAGTGAAACCCCTCTCGACAAGAATTTTGAACATGGTGAATGCAGTGGAACAAAACCAGATCCCAGCCTGATATCAACCGTGGTGCAGGAAGTCATGAAGGCAATGAGTGAGAAGCAACATTTGGCTAACTTTGCAGGTAATCTCTTAGCCACTAATGTAGGACATTACTTTCAAGTTTTTGATCCTGGTAGCTGGATAGTTGATTCTGGTGCTTCTGACCACATGGTTGGTAATAGAGGTTTGTTCGCTGAAATAAGAAGTTTGAAATTTCCTATAAAAGTAGGACTTCCCGATGGGCAAGTCAAGAATGTGAAGGAGATAGGATCAGTAAAGTTGACAGATAATATTGTGCTGAAAAATGTTCTGTTACTGCCTGATTTCAAGCATAATTTAATGTCAGTTACCAAGTTAATAGAAGATGGAATATGTATGGTGAATTTTGATAAAAATGGGTGCTTGATACAGGACCCTACCAGTAAGAGAGTGATTGCTGAAGGAAGAAGTGAAGAAGGAATCTATAGGATGAATTTTGGACAGAAAGAAGAGAAGAGTAGATCTAATGGAAAATGTTCCGTGAATAATGTAAGTAGGAAGGAAAATTTGAGCATTTTACATGCTAGATTGGGACATGTGTCTTTATCAAAAATGAAACATTTGAGCTTTTGTGGTTGTAAGAATTTAAGTGAATATTTTTGTGATACTTGTTGTGTGGCAAAGCATCATAGGATGCCTTTAAAACCAAGCAATACTATTGCTAGCAGAATTTTTGAGTTAATCCATATCGATTTATGGGGACCTTATAAGGTCAAAAATGTTACAGGTGCAAGCTATTTCTTAACTATAGTTGATGACTATAGTAGAGCAACATGGACACAATTGTTGTCCAATAAAGAACAGGTGAAAGGAATTCTCAACAATTTCTTGAATTTTGTTGAGAACCAATATGAGTGCAAGGTGAAAACCTTGAGAAGTGATAATGGGACTGAAATTTTTCAGTCAGAATGTGGTAAAGTTCTAGCAGAAAGAGGAATTTTACATCATAGAAGTATACCAGGAGTGCCTCAGCAAAATGGAAGAGTGGAAAGAAAACACAGATTCCTCCTCGAAACCGCAAGAGCAATTAGGTTGCATGCAGGGTTACCTAGATATTTCTGGGGTGAATGTATACTATCTGCAACTTATTTGATTAATTTGTTACCAAGTTCAGTCTTAGGGTGGAAGACACCTTTTGAGAGATTGAATAAAAGGAAACCAGAATATGATCACCTAAGAATCATAGGGTGTTTATGTTATGGTTTACCTACTGTGAAAAAGAGAGATAAATTTGGTGAAAAAGGAATAAGATCTGTGTTAATAGGGTATCCATATGGTCAAAAGGGTTATAAACTCTTTGAATTAGAAAAAAGAAAGATCTATATGTGCAGGGATGTAAAATTTGAGGAAAGAATATTTCCTTTTCTCAATAAAAAAGAACCTGTTTTGCAAAATTTGTATAAACAGGTGTTTCTTCCAGATATCAATTCAGAAGATCAAGAAAGAAATGATCAAGGTGGTGGCGATAACTCTCTTATTGAAGAAAGTTTAGAAACTCTGGAGTTGTTTGATGCTAGTGAATCTGTGCATATGGATTCTGAAACTTCTGAACAAATATTTCACAATGATGAAAGTGCAGCAGTTGAACAAGAAGTTGCAACACAAAGTATGCCTATTCAGGAAGAAAATGCAAAACCTAAGGAGACAAGAAGATCCAAAAGAGAAAGAACCGTCTCCAGGAAGCTCAAGGATTACATCTATAAGATTCCTGGTATGACGGGTCAATCAGATGAATCTGCAGCTTTTACAGTCCATACTATAAAAGGAATGAAAAATCACTCTCCTGATTATATTGCTTGTATGAGCAAAATAATCAAAGTGACTGAGCCAGACAGATATGAACAAGCTGAAGGGCATCCTGGATGGGAAGCAGCAATGCAAGAGGAGTTCCAGCCAATGGAGAAAAATGGAACCTGGGAAATGGTGACTCTTCCCGAGGGTAAAAGAGCCATTGATTGTAAATGGGTGTATAAGGTGAAGTATGATAGAGAAGGAAATGTTGTTAGATTAAAGGCAAGAATAGTAGCTAGAGGTGACAAGCAGATAAAGGGAAAGGATTATAAACATACATTTTCCCCACAAGCAAAATTGAGTACAGTAAGGATTTTGATAGCTCTTGCTACTATCAAAGGATGGAAGTTGCAGCACCTGGATGTAAATAATGCCTTTTTGCACGGGTATCTTGAGGAAGAAATATACATGAAGCCTCCAAAAGGATATAAGAAAGATGATGAAGGAAAGGTTTGCAGATTGAAGAGAAGCATTTATGGTCTGAAACAGGCTTCAAGAGCTTGGAATTGTGCTTTAAAGGGATTTTTGATACAGCTTGGATACATTCAGTCCAAGAAAGATTATTCCCTTTTTACGAAAGAAGATAATGGAAAGCAAGCGATCATTCTAGCTTATGTAGATGATTTGCTAATAACAGGTGATAACTTGGAAGAAATAGAAAGGGTGAAGAAGAATTTGGACAAAGAATTCACCATTAAGGATCTTGGTGAGCTGAGATTCTTTGTCAGGATTGAGATTGATAGGAATGAAAATGGAATTATCTTGAACCAGAGAAAATATATTCTTGATATCTTGAAGAATAATGGTATTCAAGACTGTAAAGTTGCTAAATTCCCTTTCCCTAAGGGGATGAATCTATCAACTGACAGTGGAGAAGTTCTTCAAGAACCTGAAATTTACAGACGAATCATTGGAAAACTATTGTATCTGAATATCACAAGACCCGACATTTCATACTCAGTGCAGCAACTGTCTCAATTTATGCAATGTCCTAGAAAACCTCATCTTCAAGCTGCTATTCATGTCATGAGATATTTGAAAGGAACAATGGACTGGGGATTGTTTTATCCCAGTGAATCTGAATTGAAAATTCAGGGATACTCTGATGCTGATTGGGGAAGCTGTGCTTTCAGCGCTAGATCCTTGACAGGATACTGCATTTTTATTGGGAAATGTCTAGTATCCTGGAAAACTAAGAAGCAAAAGATTGTTTCTAAGTCATCCACAGAGGCTGAATATAGGAGTATGTCACATACCACCAGCGAATTGGTATGGGTTGATCAGAATTTGAAAGTGCAGGTCGAGAAGCCTATTCCGCTACATTGTGACAACAAGTCAGCTGAGCATATAGCTCAAAATCCCATCTTTCATGAGAGGACTAAACACCTCAACATTGATTGTCACTATGTGAGAGATCACATTGAAGAAGGATTCCTCACAACTGTCCATGTTCAGTCAGCTCATCAATTGGCTGACATCTTGACCAAATCCCTCACTCAGCAACAACATAATTTTCTTTCTTTCAAGTTGGGTCTTGTTTCTCACCCCAAGCTCCAACTTGAGGGGGGGATGTAGAATTGTAGAATGGTTGTATGTCACATGGTAGACATGTGACTGTTTTGTCTTATTTGCAGTGGCTCTATTTCATTGGTGACAGTTGTTAGCTTGGCGTATTTTCTCTAGAATGATCTGTATTCCTAGGTTAGAATGTATCTAGGGATTGTAAGGAGCAGTGATATAAATATCCTTGTAAGGCTGCGCAGCCGAGTAAGAAAAACCAGAGAGTAATTGTATACTCACAAAAGTAGTGTACACTTAAAACCTGAACCAAAAAAGAAAAACAGCAAGTTTTGCTGATAAAATTATCTCTGATTACTTTCTTTTCAGAAAGTTACTTAAATGATATAGGGGTTTTGAATGGTTGGTTGAGCCTCCTAGAGGGGGTAAACAAGTTATGGGTGATGAAAGAGTACGGCGTTAAAGAATCATGGGTTTTATTGTTAAATGTTTCAGACTTGTATCCAATTAGGGCTTCGTTAGCCTATACTCCTTTGGCTATATCCAATGACAAGAACGAAATTCTACTGTATTTGAAGCACCAGTGGTGGATCAGTTATGTATGGTATAATTTGAAAGAGAAAAAGACTAGAAACGCTCAAATTAATCCATGGGAAGAATACGTTTCAGTTAAGAGTACATTTCCTGTTACGAATATTAGTAAGCTTAATAAAACAAAATAAGGTACGTACGTAATCTCTATTGATGCTCTTGAACTAACTATATATATATATATATATTTGCTCAACCCTATATGAACATTATTATTGTTGTATACTTGTATGTCCCAATTCATTCATAGTTGGTTTTTCGATAAGTAGTGTGAAATATAATTAACTTTGTATGCATTTATTATACTACCTCCGGTTCAAATTACTCTCAACTTTGAGGTATTATTTGTGAGATATAAAATATTCTAAAGTTGCGAGTAATTTGGACCGGAAGTAGTACTCATATACTATATGTCGATATATTATTATATGAAGTATATATAGAGTAATTAACACATAACATACCTTTATATAGTGTGCCACAAATTATTATCTCATTGTTATAATTTTTTTTTTTTTTGGGCTCTTATGCAGACTTGGAGATGGTAACGAAGTCACGAAGATGATGAGATTATTAATTAGGAGCAATCATCACATACAATTATATACCTACAGTCCTACACTGATTATTTTTGCTGATAATTTTTTTCAAAATTTCCAAACACAAAAAAATATTGATCTTGTTTCAAATAATTTTTAGTTAGCATAAATTATAAATATTTCTGTGGTAGTACCGTAGTATAAAGTACTTGTTGGTGTTGCTTTAAACACATCTTTCATTGATCGATTTCAAGTTATTGTTTAAACTAACATGCGCAGTTATCTAATCTAGTACTTCGTATATAATACCATTGAGTTAAATAATTTCTATGAATCATATGCAATCAACACATTTTTCGTTGATCAATTTCATACGGTATCCAGCTATTGCTATCAAGCCCACTTTTTTGTTATGAAATGACCCATAACTATACAATAGGAAATTTTGCGAAGAACTACCATATAAATGACGAGTTTTAAGAACAATTACCATTTAAAACCTTTATTTTTTTTGAAAAAACTACCACAAAAACATAAAAAGTTTTAGTAGCACAACCTTATCTAGTTTTGCGGCTAGAATATCTGGTTGTGGGCCCCTAATCTTTTCATTTCAATCGATTCAGGATGAGAAAAGAAGCAAAATTGTTTGGCGAACTCAATTTAAGATAATATATAACTAATTTGCCTTGTAATTAACACAATTTCTCAATTGAATCTTCAATTCAAATTAGGATTAATGGTAAAAAAATTTGAAATTGAAGGTTTTTGAAGTAGGGGGATTTGAGGCAATTGTTTTGTATTACCCAATCTAGGGTTCATTACTCGTTTTTGTTATGTATTTTCAGCAATTAATTAACTTCAATGAAGAGATTATGGTTTTAATTTTTTAACATAAGCACAAGGGGAAACGAAGATTGGCAGTTATAAATAGAGGAGAGATCGAGAAATAACTTTAGGAGGGAAATATAAATTGGTGGGCTCCACAGTCGGAGATTCTAGCCGAAAAACTAGATAAGGTAATTCTACTAAAACTTTTTATGTTTTTGTGGTACTTTTTTCAAAAAAAGTTTAAAATGGTAGTTGTTTTCAAAACTCGTCATATAGATGGTAGTTTTTCGCAAAATTTACTATACAATATAACACATTATTTATCAGCAAAATTAATTAATAATAACATATACTCCTTACAATATAATACTTTGCATATGGTACAAGAACTAATATACATGTACTATATATATACTTCGTGCTTTTTATTTAATACTAGATCGAGGTAACATACATACAAAGTATTAGTTTTATTTTGGCCATATATATTATACGGAATATATAGAAACACCCAAGCGAGTACGTACATGCCTTATTTAGTAGGAACACCTTATTATAAAAGTTGAGGGAAGAAAATACACATAATACAACACTTATTAAAATTAAAAAATTCGAAACATAGGTTTACTTTTTAATGCCATGGTGATGATCATCGATGTCTTTAGCAGCATTAAGAAGAGCATCCATCAAAGAAGTTGGTTCAGGGATGTTAGGATGCACCTTCTCATACTCTATTACCCACTTTACTATGCAAGTTTCTTTGTCTTTTGGTTCAACATGGCATGTACATATCATGCTCTTGTACTGTCCGTCTAGGATATCACCTTCTGTTATCTTTTGCCTCACCAATCTTTTCTGCTCATCAATCTCTTCGATTTCAGTCTTCGCACTTCTACTAGATTTCCCATCTTATTCAACAAAAAGTACGTATTAGTAATTCATTATCCAATAATAATAACACGCATAATTACTATTCATAGTGTTGGCCTAGCTAATGCATGATGAGGAAAAGACCTTCCAACTTTAAGGTTTTTGGGATTTGATCTTTACTAGGCCAGGGGTACTTTGAGGGTGAAGATCTCTTTATCTTTATTTCCTTTCATTATTAAGTGTCTAGTTCATTAATAGGGCCATATCAACTTAAGAGAAGTGTCGATCTGGTAGGAAAAATCTTATGGTCTTAGTCTAAAGATGGCCATGGGCCGTGCTGACACGTGGGTGGCACGGGCCCAGCACGATTCCGGCACTGCCCGACACGGCACGCCAGACACATGGATTGTGTCTTGTCGTGTCGTGGGCCAGGGTCTGTCAAAACTTGGCACGGCACGGCCCGTCGGGGATCCGGCATGACACGGCTTGGCATGAGCCCCACCCAGGCACGGCACGATGCCCATCTTTAGATCTCACCTACCAAAAAAAATGCATCCTTCTTGTTTGGTTAGAGGAATGAATACGTAGTAAAATCTATGAATTTTCCATGAAATGATATTTTGTGGTATCAGGGCAAAACTTTCTAAGAAGTTTCATTTCCAACTCTATCTTATTATCATTATCAACCACACAAGTGCACGTACTTAAATTTTATGGGAAAATTCAATTCTTGTGTAATCCCTTCAATTCTCATTTCTGAAGTACAAATGAGCAAGAAAAAAAAAATTCAATATATGTTTTGCCTTAGTAAAATAGTACTCCGTACCGAATTTTAGTAGAACTGAGAATTGATGGAAAAATTGAATATCAAACACAAAATTAAAGATACTTTATTTGTACATATATAAAAATTAAACCTTCGTCATTGAAACTTATTGTTTACCACATATTTAAAAATAGATATTGTAACTAAAATTTAACGGAGTTGTTACTCTTGTTAGTAGTCTTAGTACAACTACGAGTATAGCTTATAGTCATAGATCGAGTGATAGAGTTGAAAGTTAGTTACCTAGAGTGAAATTCCAAGAAAGTATTGAGCCAGGCACACCAAAGTCCTGGCCATGATGCAAGTCACAGCTCTGAACAAAATTAGAGGCAGCATGCTTGATGTGATGAGGTCTACTCTTATACATGTCATGGAATGCATCACCTGCACCTTCTCTCACCTCTACCTCACCCTCGAACTTACGTTTTAAACTCATTCTTCTTATTTTTGGAACACCTACACAATTACGTTAACATGAATGGTTTGTTATGATCACTTTCTTATTTATACTAGAAATATTGGACTTTTAGGACAGTTCATTTTCTTACAATTATGTAGTTTTCTTAATTTTCTTAAAAAATCACGTTTTTTTAAAGTAAATTTCTAGTTTATTGTTGTATTACGAAGTACGGAAGTAGTTTTCAAGGATGACCCCGAATTCAATTCTAATCTGTTTGATTGAGATATATATATATCATGACATCATATTTTCTTAACACTAATTTATTTATTACAAGAGTACACGTGTACATCCAGTCTGGAAAAAAAAAGATAAGATAGAAAGAGTTCTATTCCCGTCTCATATTGAAAATGTATAATTTTTCGGTTTAAAGCATAATTTTCCAGCTTAAATTTTGTTTCACCGGTTCATTTCAAAATTCTTTTAAATAGGATGGGGAAAAGATTAATTTGTTTTTAGATTAAAATATTCATAACGATTAATATATATATATATATTCCGTATACATATTATTATTATTATTATGAGAATAATATATTTAAATTTATTTATGTTATATTATTATTATTATTATTATTATTATTATGAGAATAATATATTTAAATTTATTTATGCTAAGATAATATATATAGTGAATATATCGTTAGGATATATGGTAATCTTTTACGAAGATTATTTCCTATGATTTTAGGTTTCGTATAAATACTCGTTTGATAAATAATTTAATCCATTCATTTTATTTTATTTTCTCTCTAGTATGGTATCAGAGGTTTGTTTGTGTTGTGATTTGGGCCAGTATTATAGACAACTCACATGTGAGGGGGAGTGTTGAGCCTATGAGAAAACCCACATGTGAGTATACCTGTTGATGAATAATAATCAAGTCATTCTATTCTATTTCCTCTCTAATTTAGCAGATTTCTTTGATCATCAACAAGTCTCATCTGTGGTCACATTTGTTTATATGAATAATCACTTTTTATCAGTATGAGCCTTAATTATCTAAGTGGCCTGGATAACCTTAATTTGTCCATGGAGGAACTCTAATCCAATCTATTTTACGAGAAACACCAATTAAACTTAAAAAAAAGTAGTAAGTAAACCTCATTTATATACTCAAGTAACTCCTCTTCTTTTATTTTGACTATTAAAACATAAACCCTGCTTGTTTATAACCGTCAAGGTAACTCTATTTAATCATAGATGTAACTCCATTAGTTTATATATGTGAAATGGTCGCACCATGTCACTAGCCATATATGAATATGTATTCTTTTATCTATTTTCACTTATTATTGTAAAAAGAAAATTAAAATAACTTATATAGAAAGATATCAATCTAAAACCGGGTCAAAATCTTCTAATATATTTGGTCTTGTTTTGATCTCCACATAACTAGTACGGTTCGGCTTTATAAGTATCAAAATTTTGTTGATTTGATATGATCATATGATCTTGAATAGTTGGATCATCGAACAGACGCGCATGAGTACTATTGAAAACATTTCTCTCAGTAAAAGAGTAGTTTGTGGACGTTATATAATATGTTGTGGATCAATATCTTAAGCATTTATATATATATGGTTAGCTGTATAACTTTTATTGATTTTTAGAAAAAATCATATAATAATCTAACACGTTGTCTAACTAAATTAATTAAAGTGATTTTTGACTAAAACTGTGTCATTTGATTGTTATTTATGAGGTAGCTGGATACTTATTGGAGTCTTGGATATATCATACTTATACTCCTTTTTTTTATTTATTTATTTATTAATGTTATACTTGTATCGATTTTTAGTAAATAATACAAATTGTAGCCACTAATCAATTGTATCATATTAAATCTCAGCTCATTAAATTGACTAATCAAAATCATTGAGTTGGATGACTTTGTAGTTTATTTTAAAAAGATATTTTGACAAAAAAAGAAAAAGAATTATATATAAGAATCCACGTTATTTCAGTTTCTTCAATCCTTCTTTCAATCTGATACTCACTTCTTGGCTTAAGTTTGATTTCATATTTAATCGTTGTAGGGATTTTCCAACAAAATTAGATTAAAAAAAGACACATATTTTCATGATCTAATAAACAAAAACAAAGGATCAATTAGCATGAAATTCAAGATGAAAATTGGATATTGCTAATAGCCGTTAAGGTTAAAAATAAACCTGTAATATAGTATTATACATTTCCTACATGAAATATATTAATAGGAGTACCTCATCTTTAGTACTCCTATTAATTTAGGAATTTGAAAATCAGAATAATTAATGTTATATTTTCATTTATTTTTTTCTTTAGCACTTTTATTATATGTAGCCCTAAAATACCATATACTACCTCCGTTACATATTATTTGCAACGATTAGACATTTTTCCTCTTTACTTTATGTCAAATCATTGCAAATAATGTGTCACGGAGGTAGTATAAAAATTTCCTTAATACAATGCTAGTATTTCATGATTTCTTTGTAATTTATACGTTATTAAAACATAATTTTTTTTGGGACAAAAATTAAAAAAATAATATTAAGAAGATAATATGAAGTGATACTCTAAATATTATCTTCAACCTTTCTTCGGAATCCCATCCGACCATGGACACAAAACAGACAATATGTTATTATTAAAGCTACGCTATAAGCTTCGGTAAAAAAATAAAATAAAAAAAATAAAAACTAATCAATGGCGGCATCTTCGAGTGAAAACGATGCACCAAGTCCCATTGAAGACCTTCCTACGGAAATTCTCTCACAAATTCTTTTACGGCTCCCCAACATCAAGTCCTTATTACGAGCAAAACTCGTGTGCAAGTCATGGTTTACCCTCATATCATCTTCGGAATTCACCCATGTTTATAATCTCCGCGCTAACAATTCTCTCCTTGTATATCCCAATTTCGATCTTAATAGCAAGCTCAGTCTTTACGCAGCCGAAGTCAATGGCAACGACTTTTCGAAGGCGGAGAAAATTCAGCTTCCTCCATACCTATACGATGAGTTGGGATTAATTATGATTGTTGCTTCGTGCAATGACTTGTTACTTTGCATCTTTGGTAGTGACTCTACTTTGATCTTACTAAATCCATTAACTCGTCTTTACCACGTTATTCCTCGCTTCGATTTTTATGACAATTTCCTTATTTATGGACTCGGATATGGAGTCGGATATGATCATATAAATGATGACTACAAAGTTGTTATTTTTGGTAGTGATTCTTGGACAACGGCCAATGCAGGCGTTTTCTTATACAGCCTAAGAGATGAGTCATGGCACCGTATATGTTACTCAAATAATCAAGAAATAAGTACTCTATCCGGGTACTTTTGTCCAACTATTAGGATGATTTCAGGAAATCTGAAACCTGCTGTTGTTACCAATTGTTTGTTGCATTTTGTATATGATTGCAAAAAAATTGTCAGTTTTAATGTTTGCAACGAAAATTGGAGTGAAATTCCGGCACCCGGTGTAGAAGGTTACATACAAGATATAGGGGTTTTAGATGGTTCGTTGAGCGTCCTAGAGGGAAAAGATTCACAAGATAGTGTTTCGAGCCCAGGGATCAAGCTATGGGTGATGAAAGAGTACGGTGTTAAAGAATCATGGGTTTTGTTATTAAGTGTCTCGGACTTGTATCCAATTAGGTCTTCGTTAACTAGTGTCCCTTTGGCTATTTCGAGTGACAAGAACGAAATTCTACTGCATTTGAAACACAACCGCCGGACATTCAGTTATGTATGGTACAATTTGAAAGAGAATAATACTAGAAAAGCTCAAATTGGCCCACTGCAAGAATACGTTTCAATCAAGAGTACATTTCCTGTTACGGATATGAACAAGTTCAATAAGAAAAACAAGGTACATAACGTAATATCTAATATATAATGATGATTTTAAACTACTTAAGTTAGCTATATACATTTTTAATTTTATTTGATGAATCATATTTTTTATACATTATTATTGTTGTATACTAGTAGTTGTCACCTCCTTACCGGTTTAAACTATTTTTACATATTACTTCGTATTAGAAAGGCATGGGATAGATGTCCAAAGTGTAGGGTGTCACAAATTATCATCTCATAACCCTAAACAATTTGTTTTTTCTTCTGTTAAGCAGGAACTTGAGGAGATGGTAATGAAGACGAAGAGGATCACGAGATTGTTATGTCACGAGTATTCGTCACTCTATATACAGCATTAAAACGCTGATAATTTTATTTTTTTTTCAGAATTTAAACATACAAAATATATATTATTGATAATGTTTCAAATAGAAATTAGGTTTTTTTTAGGAAATTAGGGTGTAATCGTGTTTGATTAATGTGGAACAAGTCAATGAAATTAAGAATGAGAAAAACAATAAAGAAGATAAACAAAGAACACAAGGATTTATGTGGTTCGGTCAAAATAGACCTACATCCACGGGTGGGGGATTCGAGAGCTTCTTCACTATGATGGAGAAAGAAACAAGAGAATAATACAAGGAGTCTTAAATCTAATGGCTCAACAAGGTATGATCTAATTGATCAATTAAATGGTCCTTTTATAACACAAGGAAACCCTAATAAAACCCTAAGATTGTTCCCCAAGTATACTCAAATAGCCGTCATAGAAAAGATATAATTTTAGAAAATATTTCATAAATTATCCTAGAATAACCTAACTACCGAGCTATAGCTCGGCAGCTAGCTCATGCCTGCCGCAAGTCCTCATAAGGCCGAGCTATAGCTCACTCGCATAGAGCTATAGATGGCAGCCTCGTTGCAAATTTCCAGCTTCGTTAGGTTTTTGTAAAACGGTCATAATTTTCTCGTTTCTTATCGGAATTGGGCATATGACTATCGTTGGAAAGCTCTTGAACCAAGCTATCACCTCCAACTTGAATAATCTCAAAATCAGTTGTAGTTTGAGAGATATAAGCGTTCAAAGTCAGCCCTTCTAGATTTCGAGTCACAATTTAACAATTATACTCCGTAAAATATATGTGTGGACGTGTGGTATTATCAAGTACTTCTAGTAGTTGTTTCAAATTAAACTGATTATCAAGTTATTGTTTCAACTTATATCTAATTTAGTAGATGATGATGATGATGATGATGATACCATTGAGTAAACCGATTGCTATGAACCATATGCAATCCAGACATTTTATTTCATTGATCAATTTCATATGGTGTCTATTGTAAGCTAATTAAAGGCAATGGATTGTTGTTTCAAGCCCAATTTTTTGTTATGAAATGGCCCTTAGATTTACCATGCAATAATTCCTCATAAAAGGTACGAAGAGGGGTAAAGTTGTAAACAAGAGCGATCGAAGCCACATCTTGGGTTAGTCTGATTCCAAAACCTTATTATTTTTATCTTAGTTGATCTCTATCAAAAACAAGCTTCCACTAGTTAATTAATTGATTAATTTTGTTTCACTACAATTAAAATGATTTTACAAATAACGAATTTTGCTCCAAGTGACAACAATTAGAACCTATAATCTCATTTTCAACAAAAGCTTTTTAAATTAAACTCAGTTTTAATTTCCCCCCTTTCCTTGTCCATGTTTTTTTTAGTTACTAAACAATCAAACTCTATAAGTGATAATTTATAGTCTTTTCTTGTAGAATCCGATGAAAGATATGACTTTATGACCTCAAGGTTACAAGGTGAAATAATCATCACCAGATACACCAAACCTTGTTTAATAAGATCAATTTGAATTGTATGTCATTCTATTTATTGAAGACAAGGAGTTATACAATATCTTTTTGAATTTTAAAGTCAACTTAATGGTTGAAAGTCCTTCTTCCACCCTTACGACTATGTGCAAGAAGGTCGATTGGATTTTCACCCAAAGTAAGAAGGATCCTAATTCCCCCTACTTGTAACTTTGTGAGGAAATTCTCCTTTCCAAAAAAAAAATATAAAAAAAAAATTAAAATTAAAATTAAAAAAATAAATTATCAAAGTAAATATCGACATATACCAATCTTTAATAATAAAGTACATACATCCTTGTACAACATCCTTATGTGTAGCACACATAATTATTTAGCAGTCATATCATAATATAAAAAGTACAGGAATTGAATACTTGATCATAGAACAAATACATGCCTTATTTAGGTCTAGCTTATGTAAAGCTGGCAACACCATAATAAACAAATAAAGAAAACAAGATTCATAACATAACATTATTATTCTTTGAAATTATTGCAACTCGAAAGTATAATATATGCATCATCCCGAAAGAACCGTTGCATATATTGAAACTCTAACTGGCTAATACAAGAGGGGGGGGGTGAATTGTATTTGAGGTGAAATCTAAAAACTTTTTGCGGAATTTAACTAAATGAAATAATGACGAGAGAAGATATAGGCTTTTCTAAATTTCCACTATGTAATCAAACTCTGTACAAGTGAAGATTCAAACCCGTTAACAAGTTCCCCAAATTAGGAACTTGTTCCCAACTCTCACAGAAGACTTCAGCAACGAAGCTTCCTTAACCTCACCTTACAAACTCACAATCCCAACCCCAAAGTACTTGTATACAATCTGTGATTACAAATACCTATTGCACTCAAGAATATATGAAGGAAAATAACTCTCTTTATGTTATTAGATGGCTACTGGAATTTTTATGCTTAAGAGTTATGTTTTTCTGAGATAGTTTGCACGAGTATTTATAGAGAAGGCTTAGTCATTAACCTCCACCATAATCACGTCCACATGTCAACAACCCACTAACAACTTGTGGAGTTATCTTGACAGATTGTGATCATGAAGAGGTTTCCTAGCCTTATCTAATTAAACCACTATCCTAACAACTTGATAACCATTAGCCGTATAAAAGATTTTCTCACAGAAAAACCACTTGCTAACTTTATCAAATATTTTATTTAAAAGATTATCAAAAGTTTGTTTAAAAAGATTTTATTTGAAAAGATAAATTTATTATTTATTAAAACAACTAGATAATTATCTTCGATAATTATCTTTATTAAAACTTTTACAAATTATCTTTTCTTTAAGAAATTATCTTTTAAAACTAACTTTTATTCCAGTAGTCTTTAACATAAGTCATTGAGTTCCTTTCCGACTTTATATTATTGAGTGCTCACAATTAAAACTAGAACGTGAGATTTGCACGAGGCTTTTTAAAGAATGCTACTCCGCATCCAAGTTCCTACTCCGGAACGAACTTTGCTTGAATCCTTTATTCACCAAAGACTCAAAACATTCATTAGTCGAGTTTGTCAATTTGTCCATCAAAACCAAAAGGCTCAACAAATTCCCCCTTTTTGATGATGACAAACATTGACAAACTTAGGTAAATAAAATCATCCAGGCATGCAACAAAAATTTAAAGTAAGGCATGAAAACAAAAAAACAATTAAAGAACTTAGAAAAATATTAAAAAGTATTTTTTTTTTTTTTTTTTTTTTTATTATTATTATTTTTTTTTTTAAAAAAAAACTGAGCAAAAGAAAAATTAACAAAGACTTTAAAAACTGAACTTAGCAAAAGTTTGTACCTTCGATGTGTGAGTTCCTTGGTAAACACCTTAGCCGCCATGAAGTTTGTCTTTTTCCCCCTTTTGGCATTATCAAAAGATTGAAAAAAACATTTTGCTATACTCCCACTAGACTACGTAGGGAATAGTGAGCTCAAATAATGCAAGGCAAAAATAAGTTAGGTACTAAATCATCAGCAAACACACACAATCATATGAAAAATACGAGCCAAGTTCCCATAGACGAAAATCAAAAGCAGGAAAGAGTAGCAAAAGTTATGAGTTACAAACTGAAATCCGAATGGAACAAGCAAAAACAAAAGAAGTAAAAGTGACAAGTTTGAAATTGCAATTATGGTGAGTAAGTAGGTTCATCAGCTGGGGTTTTGGGGTCATTGGAAGCTTCCTCCACCTCTTCAAAAGCCACCCTGTTAATCGTCTCCAATATCTCCTGAGTGCTGTGCAGTATGTTCTTCTCAGCAGCATCAACTTTGTTCTCCATCCCAGTAAAACTGGTTGCCTGAGCATCTGCCACAGCCTGCACTTGGCGTTGAAGAGAAGCCAGCTGCTTTGCCATGTCCTCCAGCTTTGTGCACACCATCTTTACCAGCTTCTCCATTTCTGCTTTCACCTGTTGAATATCAAAAACAGAAGCATTTGTTCCAGAGAAGGCAGCAAAGCCTGTAGGCTGTGATGTAGGAAAAGCTGGGGAGGGAGAGGGAGAAGTCTGTTTTGGTGAAACAGGAGGGGAAGAGGGTTTAGCTTGGTTTGTGGGAGAGGCAGGAACAGGAGATGGCTCGGAGGCAAAAGGAACTTGTGTAGGGGTGAAATCAGGGTCTGAGTGATCAGAAGAGCTAATGTCTTCAATGATCACAGGCTTTAGAGTAGAAGTAGCAGGTTTGACAATTTTCCTCTTACTCCGCCTTAGTCCTCCTGTATAAGGGAGGTCGAGACTCTCACTTTCTGAGCTAGATTCCCCCTCACTCTGAGTCTCCTCTTCTTCCACAGAAACTGCCTCCTGAGGTTCCCCCTCAGAAATTGCTTCCTCTCCTTTTTCTTCCTCTCCTTTTTCTTTATTTTCCTCTTTTTCAGACTCACTTTCCTCCTCTTCTGACTCACTTGTATCTCCCTCTACAACCTGTGTTTTCCCTTTTCCACGATTTTTCTCCTCACTTCCTCTCGTCAAGAAAGTAAGTGTCCCACTCTCAAGTTTAAGGCTCAGGCGAAGCAAAGATTGCTCCGAGAGAATGTTCTCAAGTTTAATATAAGTGGGTGACTCACTTTCAACATCAATCCCAAAAGACTTAAACAACACAGTGAGGAGAGATCCATATGGAATAGTAGATTTATTTGCATAGAAAGCCAAATGTTCAATCATCAACTTTGGAAAGTTTATTTTTATTTTCCGAGCAAGACAAAAGATGATGGTTGCATCTAGTAGGGATACTGTGCTACGTTTTTGCAAACGAGGAACAATGCCTCTCCATGTGAAATTGAACAATAATTTGTGAAGAGGGGTGAGTATGTTATGATGCGAAGTCTTGCTTTTCGGGTTTCCACCGATAAATTTAATAACCCTATTCTCATCATAATGCCCAATTTGCACAATTTGCTTGTGTTTTAGGTATGAACTATAGCCAGAGGTGGGACCGTAGCCGTGCAAACACCATTGTTGTGTTTGAAAGTATTTTTGAATTCAAACAGAAGCTTAGGGTAAATTGGATAGTGAGAACAATTTTGGAACAAATGCACCCATTCTTGATAATCAATTAAGGAGATGAATTCGGAGAACTTACTTGCCGTACACCAGTCATAATTGATGTGATAACCGTGAGTGTAATTCCAAGATGGAGACTTTTGAGAGCTTTGCCTCTTTCTGTCACCTCCTTTCACGGTTGTAGCCTTTCTCTTTGTCGAAGCTTGAGGGTGAACAACGGCAAGTGGGACTGGTTCAGGGGAGCCGCCAACAGAGGAAGGCTTCCGGGTTTTTGGTTGTTTCGGGGTTGAGGTTAGGTTGGTTTTCATGGTTATGAGGATGAATTGAAAGGAAGGAGAAGATGAATAGTGTGAATAGGGAGGAGAGAGAGTGAGGCCGGTTATGGAAGTTTATGGGGAGTTTAATTGATTTGATGGGTGAAGGTGGAGTGTTAAAGAAAAAATTTAATTGGGAAGGGTGAGAAAAAGTGACGGTTTGTATGGTAAGGTAGTAGGGTAGTTTTAGGGGTAGTATGGGTTTAATAGGATGTAATAATTGCATCTTTCAAACGTATCACAATAATAAGATAGATAAAAATACGGAAGTTAAGGAGTAGTGAATATGTTAGCTCCTTATCTTACGTGAAAAAAAATCTTTTTGTATTTTTGAATGTTATGAGGAATAGAAAAATTGATCATGAAAAAATAAGGAAGGAAAAAGATAAGAATAAAAAATAAGATAGAAATAAAAGATAAGAAAGAAAATAACAAGAAGAAAAACAGATAAAAAATGAAAAAGATAAATAAGAGCAAATTGATTGTAAATTATGATGATAATTTACGTGATCATGATACAGAGAGTAAAGAATGATGAAAAGGGAACTTGAAACAACATGGCTCAATATTTTTAACATATTAAGAGTATGTATACGTGACTTTTCAATACTTCACAAATCTTTCCCCTGGGTAATTTCAGCTGTGTTATGCACACAAGATTGAGCATAGCATCGTTAGTTACATCCGATTTTACCTTAGGGGTTCCAAACAAAAGTCACTTGAGCCGTAGCATCCCCAATTCCACACGCATCTTTTCAAACTTGTCTCTGCTTAAAGGCTTAGTTAAAATGTCAGCAATTTGAAATTCAGTAGAAATAAAATCTAGCTTAATTAAGCCCTTTTCAACATTATCTTTCAAAAAGTGATGCCTTATATGTATATGCTTAACTTTAGAGTGTTGTACTGGATCTTTAGAAATGCAAATGGCACTTGTGTTATCACAATGAATAGGAACGCACTCTAAAATAATGCCATAGTCACGCAACTGTTGTTTTATCCATAGCAATTGAGAGCAACATGCAGCAGCAGCCACATATTCTGCTTCGGCAGTGGATAGAGCAACAGTGTTTTGTTTCTTGGAACTCCAAGAAACCATGCAAGAGCCTAAGAATTGGACTATACCTGATGTGCTTTTACGATTGACCAAATCTCCTGCATAGTCAGCATCAGCATATCCTTTTAGGTCAAACGAGTCACTTTTTGGATAAAACAGACACAAGTCTTCCGTCCCTTTCAAGTATCGTAGAATTCTTTTGACGGCTGTTAGATGCGATTCCTTTGGATCCGATTGAAATCTAGCACAAAGACCTACACTAAACGAAATGTCAGGTCTGCTGGCAGTTAAATATAACAAGGAACCAATCATACCTCTGTATTTTGTTTGATCCACACGAGTTCCCTTGGGGTCTTGGTCCAACCTTGTGGTTGTTCCCATGGGAGTGTGGTTTATCTTTGTGCTTTCCATACCGTATTTTTTTAATAACTCCTTCACATATTTCTGCTGATGGATCATTATTCCTTCGTTAGTTTGCTTAATTTGGAGCCCAAGGAAGAAGTTGAGTTCCCCCATCATGCTCATCTCAAACTCACTGCTCATTAAATCAGCAAAGTACTTGCACAAGGATTCATTAGTTGCACCAAAAATAATATCATCAACATAAATTTGTACAATTAATAAATGAGTTCCTTTTGATTTTAAGAACAAAGTTTTGTCAACTTTTCCTCTTTTAAAATCATTTTGTAAAAGGAATTTTGAAAGTCTTTCATACCATGCTCTTGGAGCTTGTTTTAATCCATACAGTGCTTTATCAAGTTTAAAAATATGGTTAGGAAAGTTTGGATCCTCAAATCCAGGTGGTTGTTCAACATAGACGTCTTCCTTTAAAAAACCATTTAAAAAAGCACATTTGACGTCCATTTGATAAAGTTTAAAACCCATAAATGCAGCAAATGCAATTAAAATACGAATTGCTTCTAATCTAGCTACAGGAGCAAAAGTCTCCTCAAAATCGATACCTTCCTGCTGATTGTAGCCTTTAACAACTAATCTTGCCTTGTTCCTTACAATTGTGCCATGTTCATCTAGCTTATTCCTGTATACCCATTTGAGACCAATAACCTTTTGATTTGTTGGTTTGGGTTCAAGGTGCCACACTTTGTTTCTTTCGAATTCATTTAATTCCTCTTGCATGGCAACAATCCAATCAGCATCTTCCAAGGCTTCTTTGTGATTTCGAGGTTCCAGTGTTGATAAGAAGGCGTTGAATGCACAGAAGTTTCTCAGTTGGGATCTCGTCTGAGTTCCCTTGCTTAGGTCACTTATAATTTTATCCAGGGGGTGTGACCTTTGATGTTTCCATGGCTTTGGTTGGAATGATTGAGCTGGTATAAAAGTGTTATTTTGAGTTGCTCTTTCTTCCATTTCTTCATGGTGTTCTGCTTCTGCATTTGCTTCGCCTTCTGTATTTTCTGTTTCTTCTGTATTTTGATCAGAGGCTTCAGTATTATTTGGAACTTCAGTAGGTTCCTTATTAGTATTTTCAGTAATTCGAACATGCTGCTTTCTGGGAATTAATTCTTCATCTTGGTCTGTTGAACGAGTGAGACCAATTTCAAAATCTCCATCTTCATATTCCTGTATACAACCATAATTATTAGTTTCATCAAAAATCACATGTATACTTTCTTCTACACACATAGTCCTCTTATTGTAAACTCTATAAGCTTTACTATTAGATGCATATCCTAAAAAGACTGCTTCATCACTCCTTTCATCAAATTTTCCAAGATTTCTTTTATCATTATTGTGAACAAAACATTTGCATCCAAAAGCTCTTAAATGAGCAATATTAGGTTTTCTCCCTTTTAACAGTTCATAAGGTGTCTTGTCCAACATTGGTCTGAGCATGGCTCGGTTGACGATATAGCATGCTGTGTTGACGGCTTCTGCCCAAAAATTTCTTGGAAGCCCACTTGCTATTAGCATTGTTCTTGCCATGTCTTCCAATGTTCGGTTCTTCCTCTCAACCACACCATTTTGTTGTGGTGTTCTTGGCGCTGAGAAATTGTGACTTATTCCCTGTTCTCTGCAAAATTCATCAAACTTGGAATTTTCGAATTCCGTACCATGGTCAGTTCTCATATGAATAAGTTGATTACCTATTGATTTTTGTGTCTTTTTCAAGAAAGTCATAAACATATCAAAAGTTTCATCTTTACTATGTAAGAATATGACCCATGTAAATCTAGAATAATCATCCACAAGAACTAAGACATATCTTTTTCCACTTCTACTTTGAATTCTAACGGGGCCACACAAATCCATATGAATGAGTTCCAATGGTTTTGTGGTGCTTACCATTTTCTTTGATTTAAATGATGATCGAACATGCTTTCCTTTGATGCAGGCTTCACAAATTTTGTCATTTAGGAATTTGATAGAAGGTAATCCGATTACCAAGTCCTTTGACCTTAATTTGTCAAGCAATGAAAGACTAGCATGTCCAAAACGTTTATGCCATAGAAGTGGATCATCCTCAATAACACTTAAACAAGATAGATTGTATTTTGGAACTTTGTTAAGGTCCACGGTATATGTGTTCCCTTTACGAGTTCCTTCCAAAACGATTTTACCAGTGTTATTGTTGATGATTTTGCATTTTTCAGAAGAAAAGCTTACAAAGTTTCCTTTATCACAAAACTGAGAAATACTGAGTAGATTATGCTTCAAACCCTCGACTAAAAATACATTGTCAATTGCATGGGAACTTGACCTTCCTACTTTGCCAACAGCAACAATGTTGCCTTTCTTATTGTCTCTAAAGGTCACTGTTCCCCCTGTATAGGCCGTCAGTGAGAGAAATCTGGATTCATCTCCTGTCATGTGCTTAGAACAACCGCTATCGAGGTACCACTGGTTGTTCCCCCTCACTTCGACCTGCAAAAGAAATTAAGAGTTAGTAGTAGGAACCCTTTCATTCATGGGTTCCTGTGTTGACACATTTAAATCAGATTTCTTCTGCCAAACATAATTCACATTCTTATTGTACAGATTTGCTTTCTTAGTACATTCTTCACTGCGATGTTCCTTTTTACCACAGAAAGAACAAACGGTCTCACTAGGTAAGTTCACATATTTCTTTTTCTTTCCAGTGGACTTCTTCTTATGAACATAGCCTAGACCTTCTGTTCTTTTTGTCTGAGCTTCCTTTACCCACTTGGGAACACCCGTGCTTGCTGTATTTTTACTTTTTCTTGCAATTTCTAGGTCCTTTTCTAGTTTCTCATTTTTATCATTGGTTTCCTTTATCTCTTTCTTAACATGCTCTAGTTCATTATTAAACATGATTAAAGGAACTTCAGTAGACCTGCAAGAATCAATGTTAGTACACAACATTTTATATTGAGTCAATTCAATATTCAGCATGATATTCTCACTCTTGACTCTTTCAAGGGATTCTTTTAGCATAATATTTTTATCTAACAATTCAAAGAATCTGCCTTGAACATCATTTCTTAAGCTTTTCAGATACTTAACATGATCTCTACAAATTCCAGTTGCCTTTTCGGCTTGTCTTAGTTTTGCACATAATTCTTTATATTCATCTAAGGTTTCTAACAATAAAGAGATTAATTTATCCTTTGAGAGAGATTTCAAATAACTAGGTTGAATGACTACCTCATCATCATGCTTTGCCATTAGACAGAGATTGGCTACTTCATCGTCTGTGTGTTCCTGTTCCTCTTCTTCGGAACTCGATTCTCCCCACGTGGAAATCATTGCTTTCCTGAAATTTGTTTTAGAAAAGTTAGGCTTGGAATTTCTGCTTTGATCAGTTTCTTTTCCCTTGCCTTTCTCAGATTCCCATAATGGACACTCTTTGATGAAGTGGTTGGTGCTTCCACATTTGTGACAAGAAGACTTGGCTTTGGGTTCCTGATTTCTTTTACTGTATCCTTTCTTCTTGTCTAAAAACTTGTTGTTACGGTAGAATTTTTTCAGCCTTCTCACCAACATTGCAGCTTCTTCTTCATCGATGTCAGACTTCTCTTCGGATTCTTCATTAGCTCTTAATGCTAGCCCTTGACTTTTGACAGTCTCCTGAGTCCGATTGTTCGACTGGATCTCGTGAGTAATGAGGGAACCCGCAAGCTGTTCCAGATTGAACTTGGTGAAGTCTTTTGATTCTTGCACCGCTGCGACCTTTGCTCTCCATCTGTCATTGTCTGGAAGACTTCTTAAGACTTTTCTGACCTGCTCATCTATAGGAATTATCTCATTATTAGCATTTGTTTTCGTAATTTCGTAATCTCCTACTTGTATAATCCGCCATACCTGATAATTCTCTGCTTGGATAAAGATTTCCATCTTATCCTTCCAATAAGGATAAAATTTGCCGTTGAAGTATGGAGGCCTTTGAATGGATGTACTCCCGAATTCCTTTTCCTCTGTGTAAGCCATTTTCCAGGAACTTACTCAACAGGGTTGCCTGCGTGTTCTGAGTTCCCGCTCTGATACCAACTGAAACTCTAACTGGCTAATACAAGAGGGGGGGTGAATTGTATTTGAGGTGAAATCTAAAAACTTTTTGCGGAATTTAACTAAATGAAATAATGACGAGAGAAGATATAGGCTTTTCTAAATTTCCACTATGTAATCAAACTCTGTACAAGTGAAGATTCAAACCCGTTAACAAGTTCCCCAAATTAGGAACTTGTTCCCAACTCTCACAGAAGACTTCAGCAACGAAGCTTCCTTAACCTCACCTTACAAACTCACAATCCCAACCCCAAAGTACTTGTATACAATCTGTGATTACAAATACCTATTGCACTCAAGAATATATGAAGGAAAATAACTCTCTTTATGTTATTAGATGGCTACTGGAATTTTTATGCTTAAGAGTTATGTTTTTCTGAGATAGTTTGCACGAGTATTTATAGAGAAGGCTTAGTCATTAACCTCCACCATAATCACGTCCACATGTCAACAACCCACTAACAACTTGTGGAGTTATCTTGACAGATTGTGATCATGAAGAGGTTTCCTAGCCTTATCTAATTAAACCACTATCCTAACAACTTGATAACCATTAGCCGTATAAAAGATTTTCTCACAGAAAAACCACTTGCTAACTTTATCAAATATTTTATTTAAAAGATTATCAAAAGTTTGTTTAAAAAGATTTTATTTGAAAAGATAAATTTATTATTTATTAAAACAACTAGATAATTATCTTCGATAATTATCTTTATTAAAACTTTTACAAATTATCTTTTCTTTAAGAAATTATCTTTTAAAACTAACTTTTATTCCAGTAGTCTTTAACATAAGTCATTGAGTTCCTTTCCGACTTTATATTATTGAGTGCTCACAATTAAAACTAGAACGTGAGATTTGCACGAGGCTTTTTAAAGAATGCTACTCCGCATCCAAGTTCCTACTCCGGAACGAACTTTGCTTGAATCCTTTATTCACCAAAGACTCAAAACATTCATTAGTCGAGTTTGTCAATTTGTCCATCAAAACCAAAAGGCTCAACATATATATTATAGTCAATCAAGTGCAACAATTTTAGAGCAACGCGATGATTGTTTACTTGCTACCATGGTGATGATCTTCAATGCCTTTGGCAGCTTCAAGGAGAGCATCTAACATTGAAGATGGTTCAGGGATACCAGGATGCACCTTCTCGTACTCGAGTGTCCACTTGACTGTGCTACTTCCTTTGCCTTTGGGTATAGCATGACATATAAATACCAAGCTCTTGTACTCGTCTAGGAGATCTCCTTCTACCACCTTTTGCCTTACCATCTTCTTCTCTTCATCGATTTCTTCGATTTCAGTTTTGCCAGTTCTTTGCTTCCCATCTTAGTTATTCAAAAACATATAAATTATAAATTTAGTATGTGTACGTAGTAATTTATCGTTATCAATATTGTAAGCAGCTTAATAATTAGTGTAAGCCGAAAGTACAATCCTTTTAATTGTCCCTGAATAATAGACACGTTTAGCTACTATTCACATACTAACATTATAACTTTTTATTAGCAACACGAGTATTGAAACATATAATATGTCGTGAAATTTATCATAAATACATAATCCACATACTTCCTATGTTCATTGTTAGTTGCAACAAGTTGACTGCCAATAATTTTGGCCATGTATAGAGTATAAAACATATTACTGGGCTTCAACCATCAGCTAGCTTAACCTTTTGGTTGAGTTGGTCCTCTAATAGTATATCGACCAACCACTTTAAGCAGTAAATTAAAAACACGAAGTCTTGTACTCCGTAGTAATCAAAAACACAAAACCTAACACTAGGAAATTTGTATAGTGGGAAGTATTTACCTAGAGTGTAATTCCAAGAGAGTACACAGCCAGGCGTGCCCATGACACCGTGACTTAACTCGCATCCCTGTAAGTAATTTGCGCCACCCGAATGCGCAAGGTGGTGAGGTCTGCTCTTGTACAAGTCATGGAGGACATCGGCAGCACTTTCTGTGACCTCAACTTCCCCCTCAAGCTTACGTTTAAGATTCATACTCATTCTTATTAATTTATGTGTACAATCACTTGTAAATTGTTGTAATGTATGAAAATGATCAGCATATCACACCCCTTTATATAGAATGGAGGAGAATGATAAGAAGGGTTACTTCAACAGGCAAATACCACCAAAATTACTAATATGGCCTTTCAATGATAAGGTCTAATAAATTTGTAATTTTTGATGGTTTAGATACATATTTCAACTGTTTCTTTTAACTTACACCACTTCTTATTTTACGTTTGTCAGTAAATGCAATATTAACTCAATTACTATTCCCTCCGTCCCTTAATATAATGCCTCTTTTGAGTATTTATTCCTCACATAATAAAGAGAAAGAGACATTGTATTAAGGGGCGGAGGGAGTACATTTTTTTTTTACTATTATGAATAAAAATGTATGGATATTTGATATTATAAATTAAAGTAAATTTTATACTTTATCACCCATGACCTAATTTTTGAATTTGTCACCCTTAAAAAAAATTAATACGTATAAAATAATACCCAAACAGGCAAATTTTGATTTTACCACTATTTAACACTTTCTGTTAAGAAAACCTTTAAATATAAGGATTTAAAAAAAACAAAATAAAAAAATTTTGTACCAAAACATGTTCTTTAAAGGTTTTGGGATCATTTTTGTTCTATGAAATTGATTTGAGGTCAAAAAAAAAAAAAATCAAGGTATTTTTTAGTATGCAAAACAATGCACTTCCAATTTTTTTTTTTTTTTTTTATATAAAAATATCCAAAACATTATCGTTTATTGTGTTTTTTTTATCCCAAACACGTTATCGTTTGTCCCGAGGTTTAGTTATTTTAGTTTTACTTATTTGTGATTAAGTTTTGACAAATGCTATCACTTTCTGTATTTTTTTTATCACTATATATCTTTTATTTTGTATTGAAAAAATTATAAAAATTGCTTATCATAATATATGATGAAATTAATAGAAAATCCCAAACAATTATAATAGATTTTTTTAAAAAAATAAATAATAGATATTTTCATTTTATCAAATAGCATATGTAAATTGCATTACTATTAGGAAAATCTTCAAATTGCAGCTATTTAAAATTAGTATTTTGCAAATTGCAGCCATTTTAATTTAAAAAAAAATTGCAAATTGCAACCCAAAAGTTGTTATAAATTGTAAATTGATCGGTTTGTGTGTTTCATAATGTTCTTTTAAGGTTTAAGGGGTCATTTTAGTTTTTCAGGAACCAAATTGAGCTCAAAATTGGCAAAAAAAAAAAAAAATAACGTAAGTGGATCGTTTTGCGTAATAAAAATGTTATCGATTGGTGGAAACTATATTTTTCTTGTAAAAACGAGGTACTTATGTTAATTTTTGCCAATTTCGAGCTCAATTGGGGCCCTTACGAACTAAAATGGCCGCTAAAACCTAAACCCAACATTTTTCGACACGAAAACCGACAAAAAATTGAATTGGATTGCAATTTACAAATTATAGCAACTTTTGGGCTGTAATTTGCAATTCTTTTTTTAAATTATAATGGTTGTAATTTACAAAAAAAAAAAAAAAAAAAAAAAAAGTTTTAAATGATTGTAATTTGCCAATTTTCCTTAGTATTATCCTCTTTTATTATGAAGGCTATAATAAATGTATTTAAAATAATGAGTTCTAACTCTAAGGGCTATATATAAATAGCTAAGAGTTTAAATAAATAAACAATATGAAATAAATAACATTTATTATATTGAATGCTCGTGATTTTGTTATAAATTTCAAATTAAAGTAGAGTATCAATTTGGAAATAATATTTGAAGGTAGTGGCTACAACTACTGTGTATTACTTGAGTCCCCAAAAAATATTCATTAGGGAATGAAAGCCTAAGCCCTAGCCCCTAGGATCTAAAAATATAAAAGCACGTGCATGGTCCTGTAGCTACCATATTTTGTCAATACGTATACACAAATCAACACATCACAACTAATTGGTTGTTAGTGTAGTGGTGATTGGGATTACACTTGGTAAGGAGGACCCGTGTTCGATTCCCCGCAACAACAATTAAGAGGGGACTGGAACCTAACCACCCAGAACTGATCCCTGAATCCGGATTAGCCCAAAGGGTGAACCGAATAGAACACTAAAAAAAAAATCAACACATCATAGACACAGATTCACATCTGTATTTATTTATTTTTTTTCCTATTTTTTTAAATCAATCGGGTTGTGTGAAATTTTTTCTGTGGAGGCGGATGCACCATGCTTGGTGCATCCAATGTTCTTTAAAAAAAGGCGGAATGAACATTTAGCTATTCAGTAAAGAACATATAGTTGTTTTGTAAAGAACATATAGCTATTTTATAAAGAACATCCAGTTTTATATGTTTTTTTGTAAATCTAAAGAACATTTGTAATATTAGTAAAGAACATTATTCATATAGTAAATGTACATTTGGCATAAATGATCATGTATGTATATGAAAATGTACATTTTACTGTATTATAATGTACATTGTATTATATTCTAATGAACATATATGTTATAATGTTGGTTACATGTTTTATGTACATTGTATTATTTACATCATATAAGTATATGAAAAAAGAACATTTTACTGTATTTTAATGTACATTGTATTATTTGGATCTACAACTTTTTCTAAATTTGTCTATTTGCTTGCTTTCTTCTTCCAAAATATATTAATCGGTTGATCTTCTTCAAGAATTTTATTTATTTCTCATTGCAACAACAAAATTATATCAAAATCGCAATTAATTTTCAATAAAATCAAATATTACAATTTTCAATCAAATTTATAAAAACAAACACTCAAACTCAAAATAAACAAGTATGAATATCAAATAAACAAGTATAAATGTCAAATAAACAAGTATAAATGTCGAATTTGGTCTTACCTTTCGTTTTTATTTGTCATCTTCAACAATCTTGGGCTCAAAATTTCGAATTTTTTGAAATTTTGTTTGTGGTTTGAGGAATTTAAATGGGTTTGAAGTTTTGTTTGGAGAGAGAGAGTGAACTTTTGGTTAAAAAAAAATTTGAAATGATTTGTAATTAATGTGTGGTAAAAAAAATTAATTATAGTACTATTTATCTATTTCATTATACAGTACAAAATTTCTTATTTAAAAAATATATATACAAAATTGTTGCATAAAAAACTAATGTACATTACAAATGAACACTATGTTCTTTTATGTATATGTCCATGTACATTATAAATGACTACTATGTTCTTTTATATGACTATGTTCATTAGTATATATCTGAATGTTCATTCCGCCTTTGAAGTTTTGTTTGGAGAGAGAAAGTGAACTTTTGGTAAAAAAAAATTGAAATGATTTGTAATTAATGTGTGGTAAAAAAATTTAATTATAGTACTATTTATCTATTTCATTATAAAGTACAAAATTTCTTATAAAAAAATATATATACAAAATTGTTGCATAAAAAACTAATGTACATTACAAATGAATACTATGTTCTTTTATGTATATATACATGTACATTATAAATGACTACTATGTTCTTTTATATGACTATGTTCATTAGTATATATCTGAATGTTCATTCCGCCTTTTTGTATTTTGGAGCGGATGCATCATGTGGATCGTGCATCCGCCTCCACGAACCAACTAATAGGGAGATTTTAGTAATCAAAATCATAAAATCAAGCAAGTCCGTATGTTTAAAAGATGACCATTAATGTTCACCAAAAAAAAAAAAGACCATTAATAGTTTTGCCGACTAATAAATTAAAAGTTGAATATTCATCCACTGAAAAAAAATTTCGAAATAATAATAAATGTATTATTAATTGCTCTTAATACTCCTTTCATTTCTAATTTATTCTATTTAGTTTTTTATGACCTTCAATACGTACACGTCTTAAGCACATGTAATATACATTTCTATTTTCATACGCACTAAGGTTATAAAAAATTATTATTAATAAAATATACAGTATGACAAATGAAATAAGACCCCATATGAATATATATATATATATATATATAAAAAAAAAAAAAAAAAATAATATAATATATATATATATATATATAAGGTGGGATTTTTCAAACCGAACCGTGAAACCGTCCGTTACCGAACCGAACCATCATGGACCGAACCGTTTATAACCCGCTAATTTTAAACCGAAAATCGAACTGAACCATATAATGTCTAACCGAAACCGAACAGAACCAATTAATGTTAACCCGTTACGAACCGTAAACCAATAACAAACCAAACCGTTTATAAACCGAAACCGTTTGAACTGATTAATGTTAACCCGCTAACTGTTTAAACCGAACCGTTTATAA